ATGAAGTCATAAAAAGTATCCAAATGTCCCTGGGAACCGATACTGCTTAATGGTGTGCCACTGCTGTATACGGAAAGTCAGGAAGGTAGAATACATAAAATTATTTAGTTTATATATCTGTACAGTGTTTACGCTTACAAGCAAAATTCGATTAAACCTGTTTTGAATTACCTTAATTTTTACGATTTTCGTCAACATTTTAAATTTAAAAATGCTTTTAACGTAAACTTTCCCGTTTTTCACAAGTTTTTTTTAACTATTAAGTTAACTACATGAAAAATCAAATTTATTCTTAATTTATCAATTACGAAAAAATGTTCTTTCAAAAACAATGCTACATATAAAAATCGGAGCAATATTTCTGGTACAAAAGTTGTTGACTGACAGAAAAAGAACACACGCATCATAATAATAAATTAAATCTAAAAACAAAAGAACACGTCATAGTATATCTAATACATTTCTCGCTGTACTCAGAATCCATAAAGAATTAAAATTAAAAAAATATAACCGACCAAAATCACAAAAAGCTTGAAGAAGCTAAAGAACATTTACCTTTAAAAATCTATTTTAAATTCGTTGACTAGCTAAGGTGCTGTCTCTCGTCTTTATCTCTAATTGTTAATTTGGCGTCGATTTTTACAGATTTTAAAGAAAGTCTTAAAAGTACTGTCTTTAAAATCTTTGTTGTCCTTTTAGTCGGTTATATTTTTCTTTATTTTTTTATTTTCTTCACTCCTTCCCATCGATTAAATTCATAATAAAGGACCGTAATGTATTACAGTATCAAACATATCTTCGAAGTCCACAATCAGATTTTGATCAAATTTATATGAGGCTATCTCAAAATAAGTATGCATTGTCAAACATGCAAAAATCGACTAAACTATTGATGTATATTCGATGGAGTTATGCGTGAATATATATTTTTAAAAAAATACACTACGAATCAATAACCTTCTCGTTTTTTTTTTCAGATCAAATTGCCTCGAATGAGGGAAATTATAGACAAAACACAATATTTTTGCCGTTTTAGATTCTGCGAGAAAAAAATATTTTGCTCGTTTCTTTTTGTCCTCATACCTATAAACTCTTGACGGAAATCATCACGAATTGTTTCGCACACAATAATTGCGTGACTCAATCTCGCCGAAACTCAGCCTTAGAATCGTTCACATTGCTTGTCGAGCGTGACTTTACAAATCGACAGACAAAAAATAATAATAATAATATATTATCCATTGTATGGCCGACCGATGTGATCTCGGTACGCCACGTTCAAAGGTTTTAGTATGCATCACCCATGAAGAAAAAAAGTAAGTGTATTTTATACTTAACTTGCATAATATTATCAATGTTAAATATTTATACAAATGTAATTTACTTAAAAGGATAATATTAATTATTATAAAGTGAAAAAAAAACTGTACAATTTATTTATTTAAAAAGAAAAAATAATTAACCTATTACTACGATTAGGTTCTACTACTATAGGTTCTATGTACACGGGTGCTGGGGGCATGAACATCCGTTGTAAAAAGTTTAGGGGAAAAGCGTCCGTTAAATATTAAATCAGATGATTTAGAACATGGATATCATTCTCCACACCTCCCGCTGTTTCAATCATACTCCTCTCATACTGCGCTCTGTTCCACCTTATTATCAAATATGGAAGCATACTCTGGGACCCCTTATCGTTTATGCTATAGTTGTTTAGTTGAAAATGTTCAGAGATACTCCCTCCGTGTACTTTCCCTAAAACTTTGCATCCCTCGCCCTCCGTGTGAATATTCCCTAGTCCAAATTGGTCTAGTTTTACCAATCGCAAACGAACGCATGTACTTTCTTTCCTATCTAATATCAAGTCTCAAAATATTTTAATATATTATAATATTATTTTACGCGATCGTCACCATCGCCATTATTATGTTAAAATATAATATTTTAAGTATATATATTCCATAAACTATGTTACACAATCGCCGGCTACTGTATACAAATTATTGAAAAAGACGATTAACATATTATTGTAAAAGTCACTCTTCTCCGGAGTTTCGGCCTGAAGATCCAGAGAAGTTCCTGTAAGTAACGATAAACCATTGCTTACGAAAAAACGATTCTGGACAGAGTTTAGTTGATAGTGATACTTTGTTAACAATATATATGCCATAGTATAGTAAAATAATTAAAAATGTTTTATATATTTTCTTTAATAATATTTGTTTAATGCTGTACTGATTTTTCCAGTTTCCTTACATTTTTCCCGGTTTTCCCATATTTTTTCCCGGTTTTTCACATTTTTTGAGAAAACTTCTGAGAAAATCGAAAAATAGCCTCTCTAAAATACCTTTTCAGTCAAATTTTCTTTTAAAAATATTGCTATCATTATAAATTGAAGCTCATTAATCTTTTCATATTCCTTATTCTCCAGTGTTTTTTTTTCGATAATTCGCCAATTATCCGGCTAATTCGCCCCGCTAACTATGATCAATAATTTCTTATCACTTTATCAACTTCTAGGCTCTGTGCTAGTTCAGCCTTTTTTCCGTCGTATTATATAATATTATTTTAAAACCCATACGCAATTATTATAATGTTGTAAAATATGATAATAAAATAATTGTTTTGTACACAAACAGTAGTGCGCGAAACGTCGTATTTCCAGCTATAACAACTATAGATTATTATTTTTGGATAATATTATATAATAAGGCACACGCATATTACATACGTTTTTTACATCACTCGAGTGTCCTTAGTATACACCTAAGAGTATAATATTATACCCAAGTATAATATAATAAATCAGACATAATAGTAAACCATTAAGCCACTGTGTTGTGTACGAAAAAAAAAAAATGTTACGTACTCATAACCTATACTTAGAATACGATCATTACGATATTATATACAAGATGTTCGCGACCTATTTACAACAGCACATTACACGTCTGCGTGTTATAGTATATAATATTAAACGGAAGCGCTGCAACGTCTTCGAAATCGCCGCGAACCCGGTGTATAGCGTTTGTATAAGATAAATTCGTGTCTGTAGGAAAATTTATGAGAGTATAATAATATTTTCGTGATTTCGTTACACCAAAAAAAAAAAACGATAAAGATCTATCGGCGTATCCAGGTACCTATTACCTGCATACATCAGAATCACCGTGCAATTATACATAAATACCCGGCAGCACCACTCGCTTTCAAATCGAATATTCCAACAATATTACTTAATTATTGTAAAAATATAATATTATATAAGTATAATACATCAGGGGTGATAAACCAATTGTATGCGTGCCAAAATCGGCATGTTGGCCAAATTTCAATGGCACACCATTAATTTTTTCATCTTACAAAAAAAATAATCATTTTCATGAAAGTGCTGCAGATATAACATCGTTTGCATGTTTTTCAATAATTTCTATATTCTGTATTATAATGATAAAGTTCGTGAGTGTGTTCGTCCCTCCCCCCTTAGTCTCAACTCAAATACGTCCTCGTCATATTTTCCTCATCGTATTTATTAGATGCGAAATCGAATCGGACAACTGCAAGCATGGGTGGCACCCACAGAAAATCTATCAGAGTAGAGCATAATAAAAATTAACACCGAAAAGTACTTAAAATAAAATAATATTTGAAATTTTGAAGTCCAGGGGAAGGCAGATACCCTCTCTGCCCTCCTTCCGGGTGTCCATGACTGCAAGTAATACAATTTTTATTGTGAATAGCAGGCAAACAGCAATAGTATAGGTACAGCTAGGTCCCTTCTGGTTAACAATATCGTTATAATAATATATGATTCCGGTTTCCGGTACGTTATATACATATAGTTATTTACTCGACAACGCCGTTAAATGAATTTTACGCTCAGATTTAGCCTGTATACACATAATATATATTATCACAAAAGATAAAAGTAAATTTACATAAAATATTCTTCATTGTACTTGACTTTTTGGCAATGAGAGAGAGAGAGAGAGAGAGAGAGAGATAGAGTGAAAAACAACGATTACGACGATAATATTATAAACCGGAATTAATTATTGGCAAAATATCGGTACAGCTGCAGGCTGCATCCAGTGTATGCAGATGAATTTGATAGTCGTCGTTCGAACAAATCGGTAGAATATTCTACACGCCTGAAGAGTTCATCGGGCTTCCTATTATATACGTTGTTGATAGTAATTATAAATAATCGAGAGTGATCGGGGAATAATATTATTATTATTCAGGTGTTATCTTAATTATGGATCAACACCCGCGGTGGGTGTTTCGTAAATCAAATCGGGAATTACGGAATTAGTTTATAGATAGTTGTCCGACGTTCAAAATATAGCCTCATAAATTTTTTCCTACAGTCATCGCCGTTGAAAAAACGGTTCGGTTAAGAAACCCGCATTATAGATTGAGTTTAGACATAATAAGTATATTATAATAGGTAAATATACAATAATTATGGTAGGTACCTATACGTATTATATAATAATAGTGTATAGATGAGAGGTGTGCAGCGGCTCCTGTATAATTAACGGATTTTTATATTAATTTGCCGGTAATTGATTTTTGGTTAAAAAATAATAATTAAACTCGTCACATTTAATAAAATGTTGCAGCTATATTATACACACAAGCGCGCGCGCCCGCGTACATGCAATGAATAAACTCCAAGAATACGTGTAAAATGTAAAGCAACGACTCCCGTATACGGGGTGATTATTTTATCATAATTATCGAATATTGATTATTCACGCTATTCCATGGTATAATAATTATCCCGTACCTATATACCTAATACGTATAAGCAGCGAATTGAATTATTAAATAATTCGACTATAGTAATATGCCCGTTTATAATATACCTACCTACAACCGTCACGATACTCAGATATCATAATGGACGTTACATGTATAATTAAATAAAAGATCATTATACAAATAACAATCATTAATATGTAAATAATTTACCAAGTCCCGAGTTATTTAATGCAATGTCTTATGGTGTGACCATTTTCTTTTCCGGGGGTTGGTGTCGGTTGGTCTTGGTTGATGAATCTGCAATATTATATTTTGTTTTGAACTTTGGTTAATGTGCCAATACATATTATAATTAATACATGATATATACGCATTGTTCGTGTTCTGTGGTTATAGTAAAAAAAATAGCATAAAATCATGATGATACGTTTTTTAATTGAAAACAATAGAAGGATTATTTTCATAAACTTTCCCGTTTTTCTTACATTTTATCCCAGGCTTTCCCAGATATTATGAAAACCGCGTGAAAAACTAAAATCTAGACAAAATTTCCTTTCAAAAAAGGTGCCACATTAATATATCAAAGAAAGATTTTTGGTAGACATTTTTGTCACAGTGTAAACGCAAAAAAAAAAAAAAAACATCATTGTAAAACTAAAATAATAATAAAGTATTAAAAATAACCAATTATTTTTATAGTCATCTCAAGACATTGGTCATCCTGCTTGTTGGTAAACAAATAGGTGGTTGTTAGTACTACTATTACTATTGATCAGAGCATCAGAAAATTCCAAACTTATTCGACGCCACTGACTATTTGACTAATTAACTGTAAACGTTTATAACAATATAGATAGGGATAAGGGCGGAAACGGACAGATGCATCAAACTAAATTTTTTTTATTAATTATTTATAGAAAACAAACGTCTACTATATGTAGCTATTATAAAACCAATTTGGACCTATGGCATTCAACTGTGGGGTTTTGCTAGTAAGTCTAACATTGATATAATACAACGTTGCCGAAACATCGCTCTTCGGACCATCACTGTAGCCTACCGGTTTGAAAGAAACGATGCCATTCACCGCGATATGATGCTGCCAACAATAGCAGAAGAAATCCAAAAGTTTGCTCGTAAACACGAGAGGAGATTAGAAGACCATATCAACCCAATGGCCATCGAACCGTTAGACAACTCCAAAGACATTAGACGCCTTAAACGTCTGAAACCATACGACTTAGTTTAAGTGTTTAAATTGAGTACAGGAGCCACTTCATTGGAAGTGTGACTTCATCAATGTGTAATGTATATATATTATCATCAAGATATATCCTGTTAAACATATTTATAAAGACCATCAGGTCGTTTAAATAATANGGATTTAAAAAAAAAAAAAAAAAAAAAAAAAATTAATTATTAAATTGAATATTTCTATTTTTAAAAGGATTATTCCCGCTAAATACCAGGTTATTGAGCTACTTAAAATGTATTCAAAATTTGATATTTTGCAGTCTTTCAATATTTCGGGTTTGTGCGTGATCTCACGGGAAAGAAATGCGTTTTATTTTCCGGAAACAAAACCAGACACATACAAATTTAATACACCTACCTATATAATATGATGACGACTGTCAGTGCAGTGTACACACTGCATCTGGTGTTGGTCGGAAACGCATCATAAGCGCATACATATATAGAGACGTCAGACTAGTATTTTGTTGCCGCCGTTTTGTATATCTATACCTACTTCTACCTTTACCAAGTAGACGCCAATCAAACATCGCGGTAATTACCGTGGTTCGGAAGTACTCTACAGACCGCGATAATATACACACATAATGAAGAATGACGGGACAGGTTCGAGTGTTGTTATATACTGTAATAAAATACCACGTATATACGTCGTATATAAACCATATTAAACTATATTAAAATATTATACACGTCGTTGGCGAGCTCGTTAAAGTCTCTATACACAGCGTGATCCTCGCATGTCTGACAAATAGGATAACTTTTATTCTGTTCAATATTTTTTACTTTTTTTTTTTTTTTCAAATAGATATTTAAAGCCCAACAAAATCAAAGACAAAATTATACGAATGATACCGAATAATGACGGCTTGTTAATTTTCTACAATTTTTCGAAGTTTACAAAAACTGTAACTGCCACTTCTAATTAATAATTTTATAAAAACACTTAGTACTTTCAAAATCAAAAAAATGACCTCTCCAGCCAGATTTACTTTCAGAAAAAGTGCTACACTTGGTAATCACAGCAAGATTTTATTCACAGAAAAAAAAATAAACATCACTGTAAAACCAATATATGTCACGCTCCGCTCAGAATCTAAAACGAGAAATTAATGAAAACAATTATTTTTGATAAATATTATGCTTACATCTAGAAATCGCTATAAAAATTTAAAAATATTAGGGAATCCTTTTTTACCCAGCCAAACATAATTTCATCAGAAGGGCAAAAAAGTTATAATTATTTTCAGAGCGCCAACATCGCGTAGTCCTCCGACTTTATCCGATCCACTCTAAACCCGTGCCAATATTTTGCAACTAATATCACTGAAAGGTAATTAATGTACAATTGTACATGTACTATGAATTGGAAGTGATAAAATGCTTCTTTTTGGAATTTCTTTCTGGCACATATGTTGAAAATCATTATAAATATGTTTTCTTTTTCAAATGATGTAAGTATCTACAGGATAATTCACTTTTGATGTTGCACCAAACCAATCGCAATAATATTCTTCTTCACTTTTATTTTCGAACAACTTTTTTCCCTTGATCTATAAGTTGCAGTAATTATTAACGTTCGTTTTTTCTTATGTAACCCACATAGTGGGTTTTTCTTTTATCGTTAAACACTCATTATTTCAAAACGTATTGACTAATTTTTTTTTATATAATTCTAAGATCCTGATATTATTATATTCCAATCACTGGTATGTATAAGAAAATAATATACATAATGTACAATATAATATTTTAATTGTATTTGTGTTGCAAAAATATTGTTGGGACCTTCAGATCTTTGCTCTGGATATTTCAAGTACACTTATAAGTTAGTACACCGCGATCGGTCAATGGTATATTTAGAATTCGATGATACAATCACATTTCTAGAGCCTCAACTTTCCTACTTATTGTTTCTATTATTATCCAAGTTTAAACTTCATTATATGGTAGAAAAGATGGAAAATCTTACCTGTCTACTTTTAGTATCAAATGCAAAAAGCTATCCTAGGATAATGGGGACGGGTGCAGCCACTGTTGTTGGTGAGAATTTGAGAAGTTAGGATATAGAAGTAAAATTAATTTGTATCTGTAAGTAACAATAAATCATTGATTACTAAAAACGATTCTGAGAGGAGTTCAGTTGATAATAATGCTTTGTCAACAATATATATGTAGGTTAGGTTAGGTAAAATAATTAAATAGGCATTATATATTTTTTTAATAATATTTGTTAAATATTGTACCGATTTTCTCCTTTTTCCTATGTTTTTCCCGGTTTCTCATGTTTTTTTTCCGGTTTTGCTGTAAAACTCTTGGGAATATCGAAAAATTACCTCTTTAAAATACCACTTCGAGAAAACTTCGATCTACATCTATATTGTATACATCGGAGTAAGCTTTTCGGTAGAAAAAAATGTTTACATAAAAAAAAAGAATAAACATCGCTCCACACAGAATCTAAAATGGAGATATTTAATTACCTTAGAAACATTATGGAATGCATCCCTGACTTTTTCAATCCTGCATTTAATTTCTATTGAATACTCCCAATCTTCGTTAACCTGTAATGTACTTATCTTTTTGTACTTTTGAATTTTTCCATTTGCCGACTCTTAATAAATAACTGTTTTCTTTGAAATTATCATATATTTTGTTTATATTAAGAGACAATCAGGAAGCCTCTACTATTTTCTTCGAAATCCTTTGAAGACTCGAAACGACCATAAAAATGTTTGTTCGATTAATTGAGACTCAATTCAATAGACCCGGCGATGGAAAAATACGTCTTTTTTCGAAAAAACGAACGTTACTTGTGACAATTTTCCCGTTACACATAGAGGTATACGTAGATGAGTAATGATTTTTGACAATACAACCGCATTGAAATAAAAATGAATTTATATATTTTATCGACCATAAAACCGCGTCTTCGGTGTACCTTCCGCCTGGCAACCGTCGTGGATGACAATTTTTGTCAATTAAAATCGATTTATTTTGGAACAAATATTTAAATACCATATAATTTCGGTATCCAATTGTGTGAGTATATAGTACACTTCACATCATCGCAATGTAATTGTATAAAATATAATAACATCATATAGACGGCATTATATTGTTGTTGTTGTTGTTGTTATTATTATTGCTGCTGCTGCTGTTGTTGTAGTTGTTGTTATTATATATTTATACGCTATTATACGGTTTAGATGACGTAAAAACGGATTAGCAATGGTCTCGTGATAACGGCGAATGAAACGTATAGAACCTGGGGAGTCGCAAAAAATGTTGTTGGAAATAATAAGCGGTCGGTTAGTGATGACTACAATATAATAATATACTTAGGTACACTGCACTGTGTCGAAAATTTGGAGCTCATGTAATTACGCGTTTAAAATCGACGACGACGTTTGCAGCGCTTATTAAATAATATAATGTATTGTTGACATCAGTTCACTTGGCCCGACCGCCATTGTGTTCATCAAAGATGCGATAAAATATAATATTATACAGTGATTTATATTTTTATTTTTATTTTTTTTTATTACCACCACGAACCAGCAATCGTTGGAATTATCTATAAATTCTATAGACGAATAGATTTTGAGAAAAATTAAATTGGTTGTTACTAGTTAATGTAAACCAGGGACAGTTGGACTTGGGATGGTGGGAATTTAGACGTGTTTAATTTTCCAACGTACCGATTCATCTTGCGTATGATAAGAATATTTTGAAAACAGGTTTGAATTTGTCACTCGTCAAATCTACTTAGGATCAACTTTCCCGCATTTTCGATTTTAAAATTTAAAAATTGTCATATCGATTTTTGATCACAATTAGAATTTTGACCTTAAGATCAACAACGCTAGAAAATCCCCCCCCCCAGCGTATAAAATTCCTTTAACAAAAATGTAAACACCAATATACATATAACGCCGCTAAAATTATTCTATTTTTAAACAAAATTTAGAAACTTTAAACCTCTGGACCTCTTTCCTCAGAGTATGAGTTCATTAATAACTATAGTGGTAACCTAGGATACGTATCAACTATTGTAGTCGTTATTTCTGTATTGATAATAATATTTGATTAAAACTACTTTAATATTATTTATGTTAAAGTAATTTAAACTTAACATTATCAAACGATTCAACTCAGGATATCATGTAAACCGTTATCGCATACATCACGAACATATTTCAAACTACGATATTCAAAATGGTGTGGTTGAATTTGGCCAGTAAGTTGATTTTTGAAACTTTATAGCTTAATACAAAGTACTAGAATAGACATAGCTAAGAGCATTTAAATTATATTTAAAGCCTCTAATATACATCGTTGTTCAGATTTCATGATACAGTCAAATTGTCCATAAAATACTAAAGACAATTACATATTATGTAAAAAACTTTTTGGAATCATCTATTATAAAATATTACATTGTCCATATTTTATCACCCTTATTTTTGAATCTGAAACAACTACCTAATTTTGATTTTCTGGAAATGGAAATTTACATTAAAAATTTCTTAAATATATAGAGTATTATTTCAAATACATTTTTGTGTTTTAATAGTTCGTTCTAAACATAGTATTATTACCTAGTCGTATTTTTTCCTCATTGCCAAGATAATCTAGAAATCGACAAAAATGACCAATTTTTTTTTATTTATTATTAAAACTACAAAAAAAAATTTAAAAATAACCTCCACATTGCACCATCTAGAATCCAGATCAAAAATTCTATAAAAAAAGTCCCTATAGAGATTTTGATTGGAGTACGATTTATGGTAGAATAATTGTTTACGTAAGAAGAAAACCAGTACATTCCTCACCCAACTCAGAATTTTATATCTTTAAATGATTATAATTGGTTTATAATATAATAATATTGCAGCGATACCCATCATTAAACCTATGTTGCTTTATACTGTACATTGATACAAATTTAATACCGTCGAGTACATATCTGTGAAGGAAATTTATAGAAACCTAATTTTATCTTGCATTATAAATTATAAAATCAGATCCTGATTTACGCATGCACATGTGATATACGGGCAAAGGACTCCAAAATTCTTAGTCTCCCCCCCCCTTTCCATTAGATACGAAAAAATAAAAATTGTATTGTTTAAAGGTATTTTTGGGAGATTTACGACTATAAATATTCAATTGAATGGGTTCTTTTTTATCATTACTGGAAATTATTACCTAATTAATTAGGTATTATAAAACAATTAACATTTGAAAACAATTTTATTTTAAAAAGTCCCTAAAAAATTTGTAGCGAACAGAGCCATGTTTGTTAACTCATAATAAAGGTATATTTTTATATTTTATATTTTTTTTATGATATAACTTTACTTATGAGTAAAGTAAAACAGATAAAAAGTAGGTACAGTGTACAGACCTTCACCAGTTACCACAAGGGTCCAGGGGGGTCTGGACCTCTTCCTAGACACTGATATAATTTCAATACGTTCAAAAAAGAGGCATCTATTAATAGATTAATAAATAAACTAACCTAACCTTTTAAATAAAAATGATTTTTCTGAAACCACCCCAGAAAAATGTTAAAAACCTGCTACTGGTTACTATGCAATCAAATTTACTGAGACAATTTTTTAATATTAAAAATTAATATGAATTAATATAAGCAAACTCATACCTATTAACATTATATTTAATAGACTATCCTTAGTACGTATTTAAAATAAAATAACTCAGAAACTTTTCGTTCAAATCTCGATTACAATAGGTCGTAATTTTAGAAAAATCATCTGATTTACAATTTGCGTTAATACATGTAGGATTTCTTTCGAAAAACCAAAGTTGATATCGCCTAATATTACTCTTTGAATGATATGAAAAATGTATAGATATATTCGAAAATATTGCCTTGAATAAATGCATAATTTAACCATAAAAATGGGATGAATATTTTTAAAAAATCACTTTGTTTATACTTCTCGAAAATACCGAAACGATTTATAAATAACCACAAAAGAGGCATGCGCATAGATAGTATTATTTTAATTTTAAGATAAATTCTTAATTCTTAATTTATAATAATAATTTATTATATTTTAAAATCAATGCTTATATCTATGATCTTTTAGTTGATAATTTATCAGAAATATCTGAAACCAGTAACAATAGTAGTCATATCTCAACAATATCCGATGAAATTTCGAGAAAAAGAATTAGAAAATCGACAATAGAGAAGAGACGTGAAAGTCAAAATGAGTAATTTATTCAATTGTTTTTACTACAGTTTTTATGTTAATTGTAAAAATTTTAAAATTAGTTCAGAAAAGTTGAAAAAATTACCAAATCCAGTTGTTCAACAAACTGAGAAAAACGAATTTGAATTAGGTGTTCTAATAGAAAAAGTATATAACTTAATGGAAAGCAAGGGTTTAGTTTTTACTAAAAAAGAATGCGATCGTCAAGTTTTAGATTATAAAAACAATCAACTTATACTATTTGAGAATAAAAATAAATTTAATAAAATAAACCAAAAATGGTTGGAAATTGATGGTAAATTGGAAGAAATTATTAAAAAAGAAGACATAATATTAAAGTACGAAGCCCTTGCTATATTAAGAGGTAAATTATTATTATATGCAAATATTGTAGATACTTGAAAAAATTAAAAACGCATTAAATTCTTAGATCAAAGTTTAAAAATCCTTAAAGAAAAAGAAAATATTTGTGATAAGGTAGTTGAAGAGCTAGAAAAATTGCTAATTGAAACTTTGAATGAGACAAAAACCAATAGTAATGATTTCATTAAATTGAATAAAATTATTAAACAAAATGTACAGCTCCTTAAGGAAGAGCATGAACAGTATAATTCAATTATTTCTGTAAGTACATTTATACCTATTCGTATACCTATTACCTACTATGATATTAGTTTATTGGTATCCATCACTATTAGTAGGTAATATACCTATTAACTATTGTCATAACATTATGTTTTAAAGAAACTACTTGATGATGAAACAAATAAAAGAAGTAAAAAAGATTTAACAACATGGACACTTTTGTTTGACAAAATTATTCTTAAAATATCAAAAGCGCCATTACAACATTGTTTGACATCTCAACAACATTATTTTGATTTAATAAGGCAACACGCTTTTAATCAAGAAGAGATGAAAAATCTTAGAATAGAATTGGCTGAAAAGTATGTTGTAAGTGAACAACTTATGTGTATAGTGTTATAGTTACAGAAAATAATTATATGGTTATGGTAAATAATAAAAAGTAAACATACTCAATATTTATTCAATTTTTCTTTTATATAAAATAAAAAAATTTGATACTGCTCACAAGTAGACCACTGTTATAATTGAGAAGGTACGAAACACAGGGTAGTTAACTTAACGTATACTGTACGCAACGATAAATAATTGCATTCGAAAAAACCATTTTGAGTGAATGAGTTTTAGTCATGTTTTTTTTTTGTCAAGGTTATCCAGAATTAACAAAAATAAAATACCTAAGGGTTGAACATCTCAAAATTTCAATAAATATTTCAAATAAAGTAGTACTGAACAAAATTTCCACATCTTTTGAGGTACTGCGTGAAAAAATTAGAACGTTTGATTAATAAACAAAATTGTGTAAAAAATTAAAAACAACATAAAAAGAAATTTGGTGGGAAAAGTATAAATAATTTCGAAAAATAGTCCAAATAAAATACCACCAAGCGAAAAATCAACATCTTTTTAGGCATAATAAGAAAAAATTCAAGCATTTTTATTAACTGTAAAAGTATTTTAAAAGTAATTTTAACCAATTACCAACCATAAAAACTGCATATTATGGGCGCATACTTGAATTTTGGATTTGAATACGAAAATTGGATTTTTTCATGGGGGGGAGAGTGGAACCAAAACCATACAAATTTTCAAATGTAACTGGTATATACCTATATTAATGCAATAAACTGTTGTATTAAACAATTGATTTCATGTTAGGGAGTGGATATTGATTTGAAGTTTATTGAAATAAAATGTTCAGAAAATTTTGAAAAACTGGAGTATAATTGTGATGTTTTAAGAAAAAGAATAACAGACAATGAGTTCGCAATAGTAAACCAAAAAAAACTAATTATAAAGTTAAGTACTCCAAACATCTTATAGTTGTATACTTACAATTACCTATATATTCTTTGCAGGCTACAAGATAAAAAGAATACCATTACTGAAAAATTTAAAAAAATTGAATTGCATGGTAAAACCCAATTTTTAGCAATTAAAAATCAAATTATAAATATTACTACAAGGATCAAAGAAAAAGAAAAATTTTATAGTTCTGTTATTAAAAAAGACAATTGTGAATACATGCAATTGTGGAACTTGCTACAAAATAATATCATAAGGGGCATTAATAATGTAATACTTATGTTTATGTAATTTCATATTTGAATTGTTTTTACATTAAACTTTTGGATTTTAGCTACTTCAAATTGATTATTTTATACATGAATACTTTGATATGAGCAGAACACAACTTCCATGCGAAAAAAAACCTATCAATATATTACAATCTCAAAAACATATTAATAACCTAGCACATTATTCTTCAAATACAAATTTGGATCCGAATTCGTATATATGTATTAGAGATAAAGCGCTAAATCAATTATTATTGGATTTTTTTGTGAAAAATACAAGTTTTGTGTTGGACAAAGAAACTGTTGCTATCACAAATTCAATACAGAATTTATCATATGCGTACAATGCTTTAAATAGATTAAAACTTAACGAAGAAAAAACTTGGAATCTTATAAAATTAAAATTTAAACCGTTGGTGAAATGTGTTGTTTGTAATTCTCAAGTAAATTGGGATTATGAAATTATCATAAATTCAAACAACACTCTGAAACAAAATAGTTGTATAAATATGTCAAAAAATTGGTATATATTGTTAATTTCAGAAATCCTTGAACTGTTTCTAACAGATTTGTCTTTGTAGCACCAAAGAATTTCAATCAAGCAATTATTTGTATGAAGAACTAAAGACATTTTTAACTCAATATAATGAGAAAAATGATAAAGTAAAAACAACAAATTTACTTGAATTGCATGATACGTAAGTAATTAAAATCTAAAATACAAGGGTGAAGGCGATAGTTACTAAAAAATGTATTCCGTTTTTGATCTTAGTAATGCTGTAAATCAATTTATTATTTAAAATATAATCTCAAAGATAATTTATATTTTGAAGGAGGTTTGAACTTCCAATTGCTCCACTCCTATGTTAGCTACTGAAATTATAAATGCCCATAATTAACTTTATCTTTGAACAAGGACGGGTAAGGAAGATAAAAAAAAAAATATTAGAATATGGGTCTACATTTCGTTAAAGACATTAACAAATTACGAGATTAAAAATATTCTCCATAATTTTAAATTCAGAACTGAGCGAGAATATATTGGTTTTACTATGATGTATGCGATTTTTTTTTTCTGTCCATATACAACTTTTCTATTAAATATCTTACTCCAATCAAAAAACGTAAAGATAGCTTTTTTATAAAATTTTGAATATAGTTGGTGCATTGAATAGGGTTTTTTTTGATTTTTCAAGTAGTTATCATAATAATTGGGGAAAAGCTGAAAAAAAAGAATAGGGAAAAGGACAAATTTACGGAAATAAAAGTTTCATTAATTTCGATTATTTAAATTTCATTTTCTACCAAAAATTTTGCTCCAAATTTCAAGAATATCATTTTTTCTAAAATGTTGTATAGTTGAAAAGTAAGTAAATTTTTTCTCGATTTTCGATACATTTTTGTTTTTAATAATTGGGAAAAACCAAAAAAAAAATTGAAAAAACGAATACGATTATGACATTAATGGTTTCATTATATTCCAGTTTGATTTTTTTTTTTTTTTCATAATTCGGTTAAAAATAATCGTATATGCCTAGATTTAATTTTCACGGAATACTTATATTATAGTTTTTTCTATGCGTGGTAAAAATGTTCTTAAAACTTTCTAGTGAAATTTATATTTGGTTTTATGTGAATAAAATTTTTAAGCAAATAAAAATGCTTGAAAATGTATCACGAGGTTCATTATATGTTGTATTTGAAAGTTGAAAAAAAGTTTAAATTTATATTAATTTAATATTAATCTGTTTTGATTGATAAAATTGTTTATCATTGTGTAGATATATAAATTAAATAACTTTACGTATCTTATTATATTAATACCTTCCTAACATCCCACCAACAGTGGCACACCCTTCAGTAGTATGAGCTTTTTTCTTATTTTGTTTATTCCACAGTATACATTTAAACAAGGGAAGTTTTGAAAATGAAGAACATACAGACAAAATATATTCAAATTATGTAGTGAACAGTAAGTAAAATTATAATCTTCAAATAAAAAAATGTCTATTTAAATAATTATATATTGATATTCAGTATACGCTGTATTTTCAAATCTAAAAAAAAATAAAAACTTAATAATTCATTTAGTCATACTTAATAGGTCATACACCACAAAACAATAATACTCAATGCACAGATGTAAACCACGAGTTATACATCGATAACAAGTATTTCATCCCTATGATAAAAGAGATCATGGAAGAATTACCATCAAAACAGTTTTCAAACAGTCAAAATGTACAAAAACAACATGATTGTGTACAACGAGATATACCGGAGGATGATCTACGAGAGTATTGGGCTCAATTCTCGACATATATTCCAAGCAGTACTATTGATTTATGGAATATTTTGTACAAAGTTATTGGGCGTTATAACGAGATTTTAACCCGTAAATAAGTCTAGTTTAATTAATCAATGAAAATAATCTAGTAAAGTTTGCATTCTCTGCAAATATTACAATAATCATGTTTCAGGTTGCCAAAACAAATTGACAGAAGCTAATATGTTGCAAAACGAAATAAATAAATTGAAAAAAATTAAAGAAGAGTTAGAAAGTTAAAATGTAGTTATTAATAACAAATATTAAAACGAACAAAATATATTATATTATGTCCTTTCTTTTTAAATCAAACTTTAATAAATCTACATTTATACATATAGGTTATATAGGTTTGTAGATAGTTGACCCCTTTGTCAATTTCAAATGTTCCTTCGGGACACCCGCCTATATTTTGCCATCTAATAAAAAAGATATATCTTTAAAGTTTGAGGTCATTTAGATGATATTTAGTGAAGACGCACAGTATTTTAATATTTAATATTAATATGCGAGTGATTTTATGCGAAAACCACATTGTCACAGTAATTTATTAAGATATTTAGCTCAGAAAAGGGATGTTGTCCCCAATCTGCACTAAACAATAAATTAAGCTGTTGAATTTCCATAACGGTTTGATGGACCAGTCCCATTATTACATAAAATATGAACCTATTCAAGGTAAATGAATATAAATCCGGTATTGACTGAATTTCATTAAAAATCGGACATATGTCCTTTCTGCAATCAGTGATGCATAGTATTATACAAACTAATATTGTAAAAAACAATATATTACGTAATTATTATAATAGAGTACTACTAATAATAAATGTGTATAAATATAACGAATTTATGTTAACTGCACTACAGCCGTTAAACGAAAAAAAAAAAAAAAAAGATTTCGGGGGAGCACGTGCTCCTAGTGTACTCCCCCCTCCCCCCCCCCGTAGCTACGGCACATGATAATATGACGTTTCAATCACTAATGATCGCGCGTATATATTATAATATTATTATTATTATTATTATTAATCGGTCGCTTTTCCCGTAGCCGCCGCCCGTTAAGTCCGTCGTACACGATATTATTATTATGTTTTCTTTCGATTGGATACTTCGTCGCCGTAGAGTTTAGTATAAGTATTAGGTAAAATGTTAATAGTGTATTTTTTATACGCGTCATCAGCACAGAACATGATAATATTATAATAAAAGATAAAACGTTATAATATCCTATGGGGGCCGTATGCATTCGTATTATTATTATTATTATTATTATTATACATTATGAATTAATTGATTTGGCCAGAGGGCGTGATCACCTATGAGCCGGGCCGCCGTCGCCGCGCGCCGGGGACAATAGGTACAAGTGATGAAAGTATATAATAGGTGTATGTCTATATATATATATATATTATAACTTAACCCATAATTATAATGCCCGTAATTACCAATAATTATTATACGTACTCCTGTGTAGTTTTTCGATTTAGATAGCCGAAATGTAATGCCCAGTAGCATCCACCAGCGCCACTGAACGTACCTCATCATCTTCTATCCCCTGTCGACGACGACGCCTCCGCGGTTTCTCGTCTCTGCCTGTACACCACGTCTCTAATATTTATAATACACCCGCGAGTGTCCGGCCCGTGGAAACGTGATAATAATATGCAAATTTCCAGCACATATGTATGATATCCGACTATAAATAATCCGAATATATGCAACGACAACTACCAACGACGAGGACGACAAATTGCTCATTACAGTGTTATTTTTATGGGAGCGGGTGCCTGCATAAAACAAAAAATTCGTTTCTCTAAACACGTTTTATTTTATAAATTATCCTCGATTTAATGGGTATTTCAAATGTACATATATATATACAAAAATATAGGCATCTATGATTAATAGTATTTTAAATATTCAGGATTGTATTTCTAATTTGTTGCGTTTCATTTACGTTCAAAACGATTCTGTCGGGAAATAGGAAATTCGGCTTCGGATTATCAGCTGTAAGAATATACTAACAAAAGGTATAGTACAAAACATTTTTCGATATTTTGACATTCTTTTCTCGGATTCGGAAGCCATCAGAGATCAGTAGCGAATTTTCGGAGGGGGGGGAAGATAGGAGGTATGGAACCCCCCCGGACACCGATATAATTTCAATAAAATATCGTCCAAAATACAGACATCTACTAATATCCTTTTAAATACATATGATTTTTCATGACTCCTCCCGGAAAATGATTGAAAATCCGCTTAGATCAGAGATCAATCATAATTCTGACTTAAGACTATAGGCCACATGATGCCACCGATCGATAAGTTATTAGCAGGGTTCGGGACTTACAGCACCTGAAATTAACAAAGCGCTTACAAAACTTCATTATAAGCCTTTAAAGAGCTTAATAAGCCCGTTAAGTACTAAAATAAACACAGCAAAACCACATCTAGTAAACGACATTTTTAATAAAAAAAACCATTTTCAAACTCCATATTAGAACTCTAAAATCTTTTTAAAACTAAATTCGTTGATATGATTAGATCTTTCTCAGAAATAATTAACTACGTGCAAACCCTCCGGGACACCAGACTCCCAGGGCCTCAGTTTTTGCCACAGTATGTTCTTTATGCATGCATTTAACCATTAACTTTGTACTTTGATATTTTGGTGTTTTTCCGTTGCCTGATTGTGACTTACACATATTATAATATAGTTAAAACTACTTGAAATTTCGTTAAAAATATTATATTTATTTATTTAAATAATATTTGTCGCCTTTAAATTGAGATCTATATGATTCCTGTACTATTAATTATTTTTCTTTTATTAAAACATATTGATTAGTAAAAATTTTTAAAAATTTATATTATTAGACATTTAACGAGGGTCTCTAAATGTTTTAATTCGAGCAAGTGAATGCGATTTATTAGAAATAACAAAAACAAACAAATACGCGTTGGATAATATATCACCAAGTCGAAATATAATAACAAAAAAAAAATAATTTTCAAATTTCGTATTTAAACTCATTGTAACATGACATGACTTTCCATAGCCACTCTGCTAGATGTAATGTCAAGCGAAAAATCTAAGTAAATTCCACGAGTCTCTAACCATGGTCATTATAGTTTATAAATCAACACCGTAGTTATTTTCAATCGTCTGCAGCTTGCAGAAAAAAAAAATATTACGTTAAAAAATATCTTTAGACGTAGTTTATTTAATAATACGTACTATCTAATTATTATTATTTCGTTGCCCAATCGTTTTATTGCAAGACATAGATTATCACTGCCGCGTGTTATTAACGGGTAACGATAAACATAACATTATGCGTGTGCACGATAATTATAAGAAATCTATAAGAAACCAAAGAAACCTTTCACATTAAAAAATAAGATACAAATTATATTATATACGGTGTCGATACAACGATAAACTCTATCACCTATATGTTTTATACGCTGTCGAAGTATTGTCAATATCAATAAATTGCTGTGTATAGTAGATAAACGAACAACCAAATGTGACAGAATCTATACGAGTTTTTTTTTTTTTTTTTTATCTCTACAAAAAAAGGTCTAGCGGGATCAATATTTTTTAAATTCCATTCATTTAACATTCGATGCATGATGAATATTTTATATTTATATAGTTATATATTACTGTAGCAGACCGTCGATGATTGCAATCAAACGTATTATTAACATCATCTTTACCGATGTACCGTTGCATAATAACATATACGCGTGTATATTATATATTCTATAAACTGTAGCAGAAAAAATCAGTTTATGCGTATTTTAAAATATGCAAATGATGATTGCATAAAAACCGCATTTGTATTACAATAGTGATTTGTTTTTTGCACAGTTTCATAAAAAAAAAATCGACATACTTCGCACCGTCATGGGTGTGCCACTGTTGTAGATGGAAAGTTGGTAAATCATTTGGATGGTACATACGCATAGAGAGTAGTTTAATTTATGCGCAGCTGTAAATCAATGCTAATGAAAAACTATTTTGAGTGAAGTTCGGTCAAACATGTTTCGATAGACTTTTAAATTGAAAATTGTATTAATTTGTAACTATATAGGTAGGGTGGAATCGTCAGCTATGATCATTCGTTTTTATTCTATTCGTAAACAGTGTAATATTTTAATTTGATGTATCATAATGTGTGGTTATTGTTGTATTCGAGGTCTTAGAGCCGTTTATAGGCTGACTTTCTTGAAAGGGGGCCAGGAACTTGGCGTGTTTTTCACAGTTAAGGTTTTGATGAGAATCAGTAATTTCATCACGATCAACAGAAATCAGTGTATACTTTTATTTTTTACTACTATACAATCTGTAAATTGAGTTGACCTGCAATTTTTTAAAATTAAATATGCATATATGTGTATAGAAACATTATTATTTGCGTTTTTCGTCGGTTTCTCGTTGATATTTTTATTATAAATTGAATTATACAATATAAAATATACACATAGATAGGTTGCAATATTCTATATATTATAGATACCAATATGCGTACGTTTTTAATAATATTATATTACAAATTAATTTACGAAATATACTTATTAAATCTCAATCTGACGAGACGGGAATTCTGGCGGATGTATTGCTCGCACGATAATAATGATTATAATGTCGACGAAATATCAAACGCATTAGGCGATATTAATATATTAAAAATCGACACGAACGATCGGTATCTATGCAGGCACGCACAAAGAATTTTTAATCTGTATCATGAACATAGTGATTATATTAGAATATTACCAACCAAAATGTATCCGATATGCCGCAATTAAAAAAAATAAAAATAAAAACAGTTTATAATTGAATTTCCGCGGGTAAAAATTACGCCCAGCACATCATTTGCATCATCGGCTATAATCGTCACGACTCGGGAAGTATTTAGAAATATTCGTATTTATTTCAGGAGGTAATGCATTAGATTTGTTATATTGCTATAATAATTGATTGTTTTTTTAGACGTATCTACTTTCCGTCCATACGTATATTATAATAATATATACAGAGTTTTTTTTTCAATTTTGAAATCGAATAATTGTTTGAAAGTGTAGACATTATAAGCAACATATCAAGATACAAGTTTCGATTTATATTTACGCCGCACGTTAGGTATTTAAGTTAAAATTGTAAAAAATTATGAACGATTGAAAATATGGCCAATTTCAACCACGGCACGTATAGTTCAGCAGCGGAT